AACCAGGACTAAACCTGATAGGGATGAACCAAACTGGGACTAAACCCAACAGGGATGAACCAAACCAGGACTAAACCCAACGGGGATGAGCCAAACCCGCCTTCCGTGGCTCAGTTTTCCACCCAAAGTTTTCCATTCCCGAGGGAACTGGGGAGGGAGCAGGACCTTGGCCCTGGCCAACCCTGGGCGAGGCTTTAGGGTGATTTTAGGCCCGGTCTGGGTGGGTTTCTGACCCCATTTCTCTTCCCCCACTCCAGGAATCCTTCTCCGAGCACTTGGGCTTCACGGGCGGGATCGTGCAGGGGTGAGTCGGGAATTCCCACTGGGGAAATCGGGAGGAATTCCCAAACTCCAGGGGCTCCTGGGGGGGCGAGGGGTGACCCAGGACCCCCCAAAAATTCCCCAAATCCCGTTTTTTTTCCCTGATTTTGCCCGTTCCCACCCGCTCCAGGCTGGATCTGTACCGCGCCTCCGGGAAGTTCGAGCTGCTGGACCGGATCCTGCCCAAGCTCCGGGCCACCAACCACAAGGTGCTGCTCTTCTGCCAGATGACCTCCCTCATGACCATCATGGAGGATTATTTCGCCTACAGAGGCTTCAAATACCTCAGGCTGGACGGTGGGTGACCCTCAGGGGGATGGGTGGGGGGTCCCAGGGGTGGGAAAGGGGCCCCTGGGAGGGGGCGGGTGGTGGGAACAGGTCTGGAGATCCCCAGGGATGTGGGGTCAGGGAGAGGGGAGAGGGGGAGGTCAAGGTGTCAAAGTGGGTGTTGAGGTGAACATCAAGATAATGAGGTGGAGATCAAGATATCAAAGTGGATATCAAGATATCAAAATAGATATCAAGGTAGATATCAAGATATCAAAGTGGATATCAAGGTATCAAAGTGGGTATCAAGGTAGATATCAAGATATCAAGGTGAATATCAAGATATCGAGGTAGATACCAAGATACCAAAGTGGATATCAAGATACCAAAGTAGAGATCAAGATATTAAAATAGATATCAAGATATCAAGGTGGATATCAAGGTAGATATCAAGGTGTCAAGGTGGAGATCAAGATATCAAAGTGGATATCAAGGTATCAAAGTGGGTGTCAAGGTGGAGATCAAGATATCAAGGTAGATATCAAGGTATCAAAGTGGATATCAAGATAACAAGGTGGATATCAAGACATGAAGGTGGATATCAAGATATCAAGATGGATATCAAGATATCAAGGTAGATATCAAGATATCAAAGTGGAGATCAAGATATCAAGGTGGAGATCAAGATATGAAGGTGGATATCAAGATATCAAGGTGGAGATCAAGATATTAAAGTAAATATCAAGATATCAAGGTGGATATCAAGATATCAAGATGGATATCAAGATAACAAGGTAGATATCAAGATATGAAGGTGGAGATCAAGATGTGAAGGTAGATATCAAGATATCAAAGTGGAGATCAAGATAACAAGGTGGATATCAAGATATCAAAGTGGAGATCAGCATAAATATCAAGGTGTCAAGGTGCAGATCAAGATATCAAGGTGAATATCAAGATACCAAAGTGGGTATCAAGATATGAAGGTAGATAGCAAGATATCAAATTAATCTCCTGATTAATCCCCCAAGTGCCTCCCCTGAGCCCCCCAGGTCAGGGTTTAACCCCCTTGGACCCCAGAGTGCCTCCCTGAGACCCCCAGGTCGGGGTTTAACACCCCCAAACACCCCCTTGGACCCCAAAGATCCTCCCTGAGCCCCACAGGTCGGGGTTTAACCCCTTTGGACCCCAAAGGTCGGGGTTTAACACCCCCCAGACACCCCCTGGGACCCCCAAGTGCCTCCCCTGAGCCCCCAGGTCAGGATTTAACCCCTTTGGACCCCAAAGTGCCTCCCCTGAGCCCCCCAGGTCGGGGTTTAACCCCCTTGGACCCCAAA